AGTTCATTACTGTCAATAACAAAGGGCGTTGGACTATCTTAGGCTTTGTGCAACGTAACTTAAGGGAAAAGTGTTGTAGTCAATACTTTCTTACGCTCGTTGTGCCGCACTCAATCTTGGTTTTTCTCTCTTAACAATGATCTGGTATTTTTTAGAGGAAGTAGAAAAATACTCACACATATATGCCGGTGTCTTGTTATTGAAAGAATTCATTTTCAGGAAGTTGACAAAAATTTTCAAGAAGAAATGTAGATATTCTGTATCAACCGTGCATAATCTTACAGGCGCAGCAAACTGGAACGCATGATAGTTTATGAAATACTGCTGGCACTAGTGCTTTGTATTGCTGTCCTTTATTATTATTAATCTCTAAGATGTCCTCCTCAGTCCTCCTCCCGTCAATTCATTTCCTCTTCGGCTGTTTTCCTTCACTATTTTCCGTTCTCGTGCAGATCAGAAGGATATCCAAAGGTTGTTACATTAAACTGAGAACTGCTCTCTCTACGTTTCGCTCTGAAAATGGATGACGAGGAAATAGACTTTAAGGTGGAAGCGGAGATGGTGATAGCTGACATAGGATTCGCAGTAGAAGAGATGAGCATCTCCAACAAATTACCCTCTTCCCGCGAATATGTTTACTTGAATATTTTAACTAAAGAGCACAGAAGTATTTGCGTCGAACTAAGTGTATTAGGATTTCGGGTGAGTACTTTCATCGTTTACCTGGTTTGCATTACCTGAGGTTGATATTGGAATTTGTGGTAATTGTAGTGAATAACTAAGATTAACCAAGTGCGACCAGCCGAGACGTTGGAATCACTCGCGATCGGGGAATAATGTAATGAGCGAACATACCGAAGCTTCCATGGTGTTGCCAGGGATTTTCCTAGGTCATGAAAGATGGTCACTGAGAAAATAATCAGATTATCAAATTCAGCGGCGTTTAGGGTCGTTTTAACGACCTCTGGTTTATTTAGTTTTATTATTAATGACAATAACTTCAAAAGTTGTCATGTTTCTTCTTTATTTTGAAAAACAAAATTAAAACCTAGTCTCAAGAAACTGTAAAAAAAATCAAACCTCTTTATCGTTATAAAGTGATTTTCCACATTTAAAAACCTAGCAGTTCCTAAATTCAGGAGTGCGTTAAGTTTTTCATTTCGAATTGTCATACGTATTTCATCTTCTTCAGGCTGGTAATGAAGTTAATTCCTTACGGTGTTGTAAAATAAACTATTAATGTCAATAGACTGAAAACAAGCGATGCACCCAGCTGAAAGAGCAAAAAAGTTTCTTGATAAAGGCAAAGAAAAGGTTATAATAACAATTAATGTTATCTAGGAATGCGTTCGTGAAAAAATAACTCCTGACTAACTAAAATTTGAAGGGAGCTTCCTCTCCTGGGAGGGCTCTACATGTATTATTTATTGAATTTTGTTTGAAACACAGTCCCAAATTTGCATGTCAGAAAAGAAAAGAAAAAAGATCGTTAATTGCAGTGTTGAAATTTTTTTTTCCACAACTATGTTTATTCCCCAGAAAAAACTCATACCCCTTCCATAGGTGTTCCAGAAATTTTAGGGTTTTAAGCAGTATACATACTTAAGATCATTTCCAATGACCCTCCACAATTAAATCCAAGAGTTAAAACAGGTGCAATGTTTATAAAGTTTTAGTTAAATGACAATATGTTTTGAAGTTTATTTTTGGTAGTTTTATTCAGTTCAGAGACCATCTGAACAAATCATTTTATTGTTGGAGGTGAACAATCCTCGTCCAAATGCAAAGCCATCCAAACATTTTTGTTGTTCTCATCATAACAGTAAGGAAAACCTTTTCTTACTTACATCATTTGAAAAACTTAAGAATGGATTTAATTCAAAATTTAAATCAATGACAAAGCTTACCTGTGATGGATCTCCCTTTAATTTATAATCCCAAAATAAAAAGTATTCAAACAAAAAAAAACAAAAAAAAATAGGAGTCTCATTTTTGGAGCAAATGCAGAGCAAGATATTATATTTTCTTATTTCATCTCTGCACACACAGTACAGTTGAAAGGTAAAGAGGAGAGGTTTATTTTTTACCATTTTCAGGAAAACATGATTTTAAGTCTCCCAGTTGACTGTGATAAACATGATTGTTATTAATCTCCAACCATCTTTTGTGAGCTCTTCTTTAACTCTTTTCATCCTAACATCAGTATGCCTATTCTCCATGTAACAAATAGATTCCAAGTTGCTGTGCGTCTGTTCAGTAATAGATCACAGATGACATCAAAATGTGGTAAGAACAAAAAAGTGGTACATGAGGCGCAGCCGAGTGTGTCACTGATGTTCTTACCACATTTTGACGTCCTCTGTGATCTATTACTGAACAGACGCATGGCAACTTGGAATCTATTTGTTTTACATAATAAATAATTTTAAAAAGTTTTAATGATGACGTCATCTATATGTCTGTCCTCCAAAAGATCATAAGTGAGAATCAATCAGAATGCGTGCATAACTGAGCTCATTATATAAAATGTTCTAAATATATTTCTTAAGGCACTTACAAGGAGGATTTGTTTAACAGTCAAGAGATTCATTAGTTGAGGATTAATTTGTGTTCTTTTCTTTTTATCCTTTATTCTTATGATCTTAATGAGTGATTCAGGGTTCATATTGTAAAGTGAAATTGATGCTTGTCACTCTTAGGGTTCATTGGGTAAAACATCAATTTTTATCTTCTTTCACTGTGATTGTGGCATTTTCTTTTTGCTTCTTTTTGTCATACATTTCTGTTGTTTCTATTTCAATTTGCTTTATTTCAGATTGTTGGCGAAAAATTTGACGACAATCAAGAAAACAGTAATTCCAAATACTATGAAACAATCTATGCCTTATTAGACTCCACGAGTCCAGGATATACAAAGTCATTTGGTGAAGCATTGGTCAGGAAGCTGTCATCACTACAAAGTCCTACTAGTGAAGATTTAGAAATACCTGATGAGTGTGCTGATGAAGCTGCATGTTCATAATGACATAACATTGAGACTACAGGAGTATACAGTGTGTTTGTGAAACATTTTCTACTTCATAATTTTTAAAATTACTCTTTTTATCCTTTGAAAAGGCAACCTTCTTGAGCTAAAGAAATAGTTTAGTTCTTTGTCAGCTAGAAATTTTTAGAATTTGTAAACATTAAAGATTACATACCCTTTTATGGTACGCAGTATGTTATATAAAGAGACTCACAATAGTTTACATACAAGAAATTGTTACTACTGTGAAACTCAGGAAAGCACAAACATTTTGATTCTGTAGAGCCAGTTGTACTACCAGAAAATTATTACTTAATAAATGTTGTTTGAGGTTTTGTATTCTCACTCCTAATTGGTTATTTAAAACACAGTTAACATTTCATGAATATTTCTTTGTTTGTGGTATTCAGAGTTTCACAGTAAACCAGGGAACATCACCTGGAAAGTAGATAAACATTGCCACCTTCTACAAACATAGCAAATGATAACATTGGACTTTTTAATTAACCTTTGTAAACTTTTTATAGGCTCATAAATCTGTTGTAGAAAAGTAATTTAAAATCAAAATCATACCATATTTAATATATTGTGGCTTGTTATTTAGTAACTGGTAAGTGACAATTGTAAAGGTCAAGCCTGTCTGAGATATAATTTAATAATATAATATTCCTGTTGGTGGTATGGGGATGATATGGATCACGACAAAGTAACAGTAAAGAAAAATATATTTAAGCATTGTCATTTTTCCACATTTTTATATTCTTGAATATTTGATTATTTAACAGTTTTTATTGTTCTGTCTTTTTTCATAAAGATCATTGTTTTGCTGAGTTATTAATTGGTAAATTATAATTACCAGTGCAAGCAAGTTTTTAAATTTCAAATGTATATTTGTTGAAAATCGAAGTGATGAGCATCAGTCAATAAATTTGTTCCAAATGGTGATCTCTCATTTGGTCAATTTTATTTGATGACTGTTGATTAGATTTTTTCATGACTTGTTTCGAAGTGGGAGTGATTAGTTTTGTTGTGAAGGACAGAGGCTTAGAATTGGAATCTTCAAACACATTACACCATGTAAACAAGGATAAGTGATATACATTTTAGCTTTATCTGGTAGCAAAAGAAAATTGGGGGACACAAAAACAATTACACGCTAAAGAAATTTAACTATCACCGAAATAATCATGCAGGGCCACATTACTGTATTCATCAGCATGAAAAGCTGCAATAAAGATACTTTGGTCCTTCCAGTTGTTTTAACTTGCCAAAAATGCAGTTAAATGTCATTAAAACAGGGTGCCAGTCTTTATTTTTAGACTCCAGACTCTTCTAATGGTTTAACCATTTCAAAGACCACTTTGTTGTGTGGTTAAGTACTTTTTTGTCTGTGAACAACCTTAGAAGGGCCCTAAAAGGACTTTGGTGAAGTGGCTGGGAGGGGCTCTCCTCCCCCACTAATTCTCTCTTAAAGCTCTCTTTCTTTCTATTTTCCTTCACTCCATCATTGACCAGAGAGCCTGAGGATATTTTTAGTATTTTGAGCAAATCAGATGCTTCAATAGGAAATTATCTTCAGACATTTAATTTCCAGTTCAGTGTATTGAAGAATTGAACTTTTTTAAAACTGTGCACCTCTTGAGAATGAATTCTTCCTAAAGTCAGTCTAAACTGGAGACTTGATTAATACAGAGACTCTTAACTACCCTACCAAAACCTGAGGAAAACCTTCCACAACCCTTCCTTGCCTTAAAAAAGATTGCCAGTCAATTCCTTTCCATTTTAAAAAGAACTCACAGAGGCAAAAGCTGTTGACTTCTTTTTTTTAATTCTCAAGT